ATATATACACACACACACACACAATGATTTACATGAACACATTAAATATAGTATAAAAACTCTTCCTTACCTTTAAATATTTTACCAGCTTCTGAATTTGCCAATATTCTGATGGCAAATCGGCATTGGCTTCCTGGCGATGATCAGGTGGTTCTTCATCTTCCTCACTCTCTGAGGAACTCTCACTAATAGTCTCCTCAGCCTTGTCAGCACTCTTACTAAAAATAACAAGAACAAATTCATTCATGTAAGCTCCAGCATGGATACGGATACAATGTAATTCTTTAGTAACGTGTATATAAGACATAAGTGAATATCAAGTCCATCTGACTTCTAGAAAAGGGGTGAAGTTTCATGCTTCACTCAAGTTAGAAAAGGTCAATTTGGTAAGGAATAATAAGAATATTAAAAAAATATATATATATATCACAATACCTAAAGCAGGCACACAAAACTATACAAAGAGATGAGCTTCAAAATACTATGGAAAAATCAAAGTGGAATTATATAAAATGTTCAAGCAGTCACAGGAAGATGAGAAAGAAAAGATCAAAAGCAGAACAAATAGAAAACAAGGTGACCTCATAAAATGGCAGATCTAGACCACAAAATATCAGTAATTACATTAAAGGTAAATGATCTAAACACACAAATCAGAAGACAGTTTGACTTAGTGGATTGCAAAGAGAGGGGTATGAATTATATACTGTCTATAGGAATTCAAATATAACAGTATGGGTAGTTTGAGAATAAAATGAAGGAAAAAATATACTATGCAAACACCAATCAAAAGAAAACAGAAGTTGTCATGTGAATATCAGACTAGGCAGACTTCACCAAAAAAATAACCAGTAACAGAGAGGGACTTTACATATTATAAAACATGAACTCATGAGGGAGACAAGCACTCCTAACTTGGAGGATACCAAAGATCGCTGCAAAGTACATGAAGCAAAAATAGAACCAAAAAGAAAATAGAAAAGTCTACAGTGACCGTTGGAGGTTTCAACACACCCTCTCTCAATTGTTGGTAGATTAACTAGAAAGGAAATAAGCAAAGATAGAGAGGAAATCAACAACACCTTCACACAACCTACCAGAGTCCCTCTTATGTGCAGCTTGCTTTCTATGGTTTTAGTTATCCACAGCCCATCACAATAAAAAGCATTAGAATGGAAAATTCCAGAAATAAAGACTTTGTAGTGAGTTTTAAATGATACCATTCTGAGTAGCGTGACACGATCTCCTGCTGTCCCTCTCCCCTGTCCTAGCTGATGCATGAGCCACCCTTGGTCCTTCATATCAATCTGTGCTACTGCCCCCGGGCTAGTTACTTAGTAATCGTCCCAATTACCAGACCCACTGTCACCATCTCACAGCTGGTGTTCAAGCAGCCTTCATGTGTCAGCACAGCCCTATATGACAACACCGGTGCCCTTCAGCTCACGTCATATCATTTTACAGCCACTTACTGTATCATTTCATCAGAGGAAGGGTGAGTTGGTACAATAAGATATGTTAGGAGAAAGAGAGAGGCCGCATTCACGTAACATTACAGTGCATCATTACAACGGTTTTATTATTGATTACTGTTAATCTCTTGCTGTGCCTAACTTAGCAACTGTATCATAGGTATGTATAAAAAAGAAATAGTATATACACGTCTAGGGCTTGGTATTATTTGTGGTTTCAGGCAACCAACAGGGATCTTAGGAACACACCCCTGCAAATACAAGAAGACTACTGTAAGTTAATGCACATCATAGAATGCTCCACCCAACAAAAGTAGAATGCATAGTCTTTTTAACCATTGAAAGAACCTATATCAAGATATCCTGGGCCATGTTAAAATGTCAACAGCTTTTAAAGAATTGAAATTATATTACTGACCACAATGGAACCAAACTGAAAATCGGTAACAGAAACACAACAAGAAAATTTCCAAATACTGGAAACTGAGAAAGCATACTTTTAAATAATCAAAGGTCAAAGAGAAAGTCTCAAGGGAAATGTTTAAATTGCATTAAACCAAATGAAAATGAAAACATACCACAATCTGCAATTTCTCAGCTAAAGCTGCTCTTTTAAAGAAGGGCAATAGATAGCATGAAATAGTTACATTTGAGAAATCTCAATCCAATCATCTGTGGAATACAGAAACTAAAAACGAAGAGCAAAGTAAGCCCAAAGCACAAACTGAAAAACTTTTAGCAAGACTGATTCCCCAGCTCCTCCCAAAACACACAAGGACTCATGTCAGGTAAAAAGCACAGCATATTTTATAGGTATACAGATTCTACAGATGACAAAGGATAGTAAGGGAAAATAATGAAGAATTGAAAGTGTAAATTTGAAAAGTTAGACAAAAATGGATCAGTCTCTTTAAAAGTACAAATTACCATAATTTACTCAAAGTGAAAAAACCATAAAATTGAAATCATAATGTGAAAAAGATCATCTTAAATGAATAAAATTTAATTCACGGGGTTAAAACTCAAAACAGAAATCTCTAGGCCCTTACAGCTTCACTGGTGAATTCCACCAAGGTGAGAAGAACTAACACTAAATGTCCACAATCCATTCTAGGCAACAGAGAATGACAGCAGGCATTAAAACCAGGAGAGCATGTTCTGAAGCAATGTCACCACACACACTTTACAGTGATCAAAATAAATCATAGTAATAATGCCAAGTGCTGGCAAAAACAAGGAGAAACAATCTCAAATGTCACTGGTTGGATAAAAAGGGGCACAGCTACTCTGGAAAAGTTCTTAACAAGCCAAATAATTCCCGTGTGTCAGTCATCAGGCATTTATCCTGGAGAAATAACTTGCATGCATACAGAAGCCTGTACGTGATCATTCACAGCAGCATCATTTGTAATAGTGAAGAGCTGCAAGCAACTAAAACGTTCTACAAGAGGGATGATTAAACAAAGCAAGGTACACCTGTACCGTGCAACACTACTGAGTGATAAAAAGGCACCAACTACTGAAACAGGCACAACTTTGGTGGATGCCAAGGGTATTATGGTGATGCAAAAAAGAGCTCCATTAAAGATGGATGATTCCATTTATACGCCATCGTCCAGGAGCTAGAAATTGCGGTTGGTACAGAGACAGGAGTTCCAGGTGGTGACACAACAGCTACACATCCTGGTCTCTACACACACCGCACTGCACTGCAGTTGGTTTCCTTACGCGGCTACTGTGCTATAGAACCATGGCCCCGGGGAAACTAGGTGAAGGATGTGAAGGACCACACTGCAGCATCTTCGCTTTAAAACCAAAAGATAGGTCTTGGCTCTGTAATCATCACCACTAAATGTTAATGAGAGGTGAAACATGTCACCGTAGAATTGGAAGAGTCATCGGTGACTGCCAAAAGAAACCCCAGGCAGGTGTCAATAGTGTGTGACTGTTCAGAATCGAGGTCAGCTGTGGAGCCCAGTATGCCTTGCTCTTTGCACTCATGTTTTTCCTAGACTCAATGAATAGTCAGTCCTTGTATATTGCATTAGAAAGAGGTCTTGGAAATACACTTAAAGAAATCCAGGTTTATCACTTTTACCAACACTGCCAGTAACTGCCGTATGTCAACATAAGTATCTTAGGACCCTAACGTAGCAGTGAGAAAGCTGCTAATTAACACACTGCCTCAGCCATCATGTGGGGCTGGCTGGAAGGACTCGGTCACCCCCACACATACCGCAACAACTGCGTTCTTCCCGGTGAGATAGATGCTCTGGTCTTCTCAAGTTTTCCTCCGTGCTTTTCTTCTTGGCTGTCCTTTACTGAGCTTTTGCGGCTAAAGAAAAAGAAAACATGAGTTTTATTACCTCCTGTTGATGAACAGGAAATAAAGTCTGGTCCATCAGTTTCATATGTGTTCTGGACTCAGGGAATGACAGGTTCCAGCTTCACCTGACACTCCAAGTTGCCCCTTTGTCCTTCAAGCACAGCCACGCATTTTGGACAGTGAGGAGATGTTGCCATCACTGTGTACGTCCATCGCTCTACACTTCCCCGCTGGGTACTCACTGCTCTCTGTGATGGCCAGCATGGCTTCTTCCTCCCCAACACCACAGCAGGCCTGCACCTGCCTCCCCTGGCATCCTCAGGCTTAGCACAGTCCTTCACACACACTCTGCTCTCATTAAACACTTGTGAAGGAAATTCACATTTGAAAGAACAAGTACATGGAAAAATAATATGTTAAAAGTCACTTCCTGGTTAACATTTTTCACAGTGGACTCTTCCAGAGTTGCAAAGGTCAAACACAGAAGATCAGTGATCATCAGAAGGGCAAGAGCATCTTCTCTTTCTCTGGAGCCCCTTCCTCCCGATAGCTCTCTGGATTTACTTCCAAGTCACAGTCACCTGTGGCTATCAGATCCCCACAGGGAGGACACTACGGAGACCAAGACTAAGCATGAGCCAGTTAGTAACCCAACATGTGACAACAGAGACCGCCGGATATAGGCTGAGATTTGCAAGCTATCTGCTCGAGTTTAAGAAGTAAACTTTAGTTGGGATCTTGACTGCTCCTTAAAAGCCCCTCTGTTAAAAGTTCAGTCCACAGGCTGGTTGGAGGGTGGGAACTAGCAAGGGGTGTGTGGATTCTCAGAGAAGACTGTGGGGACCTGGCCACTTCCTCTCCCTCTTCTGTTTCCTGGCCATGCAGCAAGTAGTCTGGCTCCACCGAGTGTCCCAACCACAGACATCTCACACCCCCACCAGAGGCCAAAAAGCAATGCCTTTGCTGATCATGGACAGAAACCTCCAAAAGTGTAGGCCAAAGGATACCTTTTCTCCGTGTAGGTTAACTATCTCAGGTATTCTGTTATAGTAACAGAAAACTAGCACAACGGTCGAGGTGATTTTGATTGCCTCAACATTTAAGTAGCTCTTAATCTTTGCTTTGACACCTAATTATGGAGGGTCCACAATGGAATGAGTTCTGTTTACCTCACACACTATAAGCCAGTGATGGTGAACCTTTTAGAGACTGAGTACCAACCTGCAACCCAATACCCTCTCATTTATCACAAAGTGCCGACACTGCAATTCAACCTGAACACAGAAAAAACTTAGAAACTTAGAAAAAACAGCTCATTTACTAACATCCTTGGTCTTAAAAGAAAAACACAGCGACACACATGTCATAAATTTGCCAACACTGCTAAAAACCAAGTGTCCCCTTTACATGGGCCAGTCAACATTTTGAGACTCTCGCCTTTTTATGGCATTAAAGTTCTGTTCATAGAGAAGACCATCGCAGCGAAGGATTCCCTGCTCAACTCCACATAATTGTAATCCTTCTAGATTCTCCCAGCACACGCCTCACAGGGGCCCTCTCTGTAAATTCACATTTCCTATGTTACTTGATCATCTTTTTCATGGTGATTTTCCTGACTCACTAAACAAGAGTGAATCATATTCTTCCCTTCACAGTGCTCCAGGCACTAACGCCACTGCTGTCAAATATTCCCACTTGGGATACAAAGAGGAGGAGAAAAGTGTCACCTTGTTCTGTGGAGGGACATGTAAACAGCCACTTTGCATTCTTCAGCTTGGAGTAAAGCTCCAGGAAGACTGAAGATGCATGAGCAAACCCATCGCAGAATGGCTACGTACTCTTTGCCATTGACAGTGATCCTCCAGTTCAGGCTCGGCTCCAATCTCCTGGTCATCTGATTCTTCCCAAAGTTAACTGGGTTCTTCTCCAGTTTGCTCTTGTCTATACCAGACATAGCTTTATGGACGACATCTGTTTGTTCCTTCTTAAGTACCTCATCAGTCTGATTCTTTTGCTGCTCTTCACTGATTCTAATCTCCTTTATAAAAAAATAATAATGTTTACAATGATATCACTTCTGAATCACCCAGTGCCATCAGAAGATAAACACTGTTGATAAGTCTAGGAAAGGAAGTCTCAGATACTTAGCAACACGAGTTGAATGAGGGCACCTTCAAGACCAAGGCCTCTCTGGAGCAAACAGGCAGAGAGCAATATAGCAATGTGCTATTTCTAAACTCACAGCTGGGCCAGGGCACACAAACAATAGCAGGGTTGGACCCACTCATTCACTCGAGAAAATAAAGCACAATGCCTGTATTGACTAGAATACACCACCCAACAGCATCTCTCAAGACGTGAAGAATCTAGAATTCTAGAAAAAGGAAAAGTTCTGGAATATGTCCCACATGTATTATCATGCCACACGGCCCACATACCAAAACCAGACAAAGACATTAAGACAGACATGGTGAATCTCTGGGACACGTACCACAGGAGGACACAGGGTCCCCTCGGCAGCATCAAGCCAAGTCACCCCAGCACCACCCCAGCAGCCGAGCATCACATGACGTCGCACACAGGAGCAGTGTTAGCACTTGGCAATGAATAAGTGGATTTGGGGCTGCAGCTGGGCACTCAGTCTCTAAAAGGTTTGCTATCACTGCAGGAAGAGATGGCAGGGTGTAGGGGTGATGGGGAAGCGATGTCCCTCACTAGGCACTAAGTTACACTTAGACAGGAGTGAACTTTTGTACAGTGGGTGACCACAATGACAATAATGTACTGTGCATTTCAAAAGGCTGAAAGAAAGGATTCTGAAAGTCTTCACTATAAAAAATGATAAATTTAAGTAGATATGATTAAACTGATTTAGACATTAGTTTATATATATATATGTATATACATTATATATATATATATATATATACATTACAAGGTATCCTGTTAATATGTACAAATTTTGTGTATCAATTAAAAATGAATTTTGTAAAAACTAAAGGAAAAGACCACCTTTCCAAAAAGGTAACTGCTAACACATACCCTCCATGAATATAATTTCAAATATAATAACACAAAGATGCTCACTTGTTAGCACCAAGAAATGAAAGCGTCCTCTGAATTTCCTTGTCTAAAAGAAGAAAATGGATCTTCCAGATTTTATATAGATTTAAGAGAATTACTTAGACTAATACGTGTATAAGCCCTAGTGTATGCTCCTAGCAAAATATTCACAGTTGAGGTAATCAAACTCTCATTAAACATAACTATGACTAGACAAAATTAAATTGTATCATAAAGTTTATTTTAAACAAGAAAAATAACAATAAATGAAGGCTGGGGGCATCACTCAGGGGTAGAGGTAAAAGTATACACCTATCAGAAGGTCTAAAGTTAAAGGACCGACCATGTCAATAATTTTCAGGTATGTGGAGGAACTGGAGTCTCATACATGGCTGATACGAACGTAAAATATTACAATCATTTTGGAAAGTTATATAACTCTGCCAATTTACTCCTAGATTTTTTTCAGGAGCAATGAAAATATATATTCATACAAAAACATGCATAAGAATGTTTGTGGTGACTTTGCTTTGGAGCTGAAAACATGAAGCAATACTCAGGTCCATCAACAGATGAGTGAATAAACATAATTTGTGGTCTACCCACACAGTGGCAAATACTCGTCCATAAAAAGTAATGAAGTAATGAGAGATACAAAAGCACAGATGGTTATCAAAAACAGTGTCTGTTCAAACACAGCCACATCACATCACATGAAGGGCACAGCCAAAAGTAACCCATAATGATGGGAATCAGAATATGGGTTTTCACAAAAGAGGAAGAGTCAATGAAAGCAGGCATGACAGCCGTTTTTTGGGACTGGCGGGAACATTCCATACCTGATCAGAGTGCTACATACGTATGTGTGGGAAAAAATAAAATTGCATTCTTAAGAGCTGGACATTTTTTTGTACACAAATGTTAACTCAATTAAAAAAATTTTTTTAAACACAAGATAAAAATACACCTATTGGATTTCTGGTTCTAATAGGGCAGACTAAAGTCTTTTTCTATTCTACTCTAAAATCCCAAAACAATTATAAGGAAAAAAAACCTACAAAACTCTATTCTTGATGAAAACAGAAGACGCACTTTAAAAGACAGCTTTCAAAAGAGGGATGGTAAATGAATCGGGGAGGTAATCTACAGAAAACATGCAGTGCAACAGGCAAACTTGCAAGACTGAGGTCCCAGGTGCCAGAGAGGCGCAGAAGTGACTGGGGAGGGCGGAGGGGTTGCTTCAAAGTCTCCGTGGAAAGCAGCCGGTCCCGAGATCTCCACCCCTAACACCAGCAGCCCCTCAGCTCAGTAAGGCTTTTGTCCTCACACCTCCAGGAAATGAGAGTTGGTCTCAAAGAAGGACCAAAGGAGCTCTAGACTCAAGGGTTCCCCGTACAGATGAAAATGAGAATGAAGCCTGTGTCCAAAAACAAGAGAACTAAGTGAAATATCACCTACCTCTTGAGTGACAACAACTGTAGCATCTTTTCCTAACTCACCTTTCCAGGCAGGAGACCTAAAGAGCTCTTTCTAGAGAAACTGAACACTGCAGTGAAAACTCTCATGGAACCAGACATTAAGGGATCCCTGAAAAAGGCCTCAGGGCGCCAGCGGCCCAGTGGACCAATCCACAAAAGAGTTTTGCTGCTTGGCTTTTTGGAGAAACTGAGAAAATTATGAGAAGCATTTCATGTGAAAAGGGTTTAAAGCAAGCAAAAAGAAACTCAAAGGAGAGTAAGACAGAGCAGGAAACAATTGCACGACGGTTAATTTTTTTGGCTAGATTAAAAAACCCAGTACTTCGGTCAAGCAGCAAGCTAAACATGGCTGAGCACACATTTTTTTTTTTAGATGTGATTAGCATTTAAGGAGGGAGAGTCTGAGTTGAGTAGGTGAACCACCGGCAGCCGTGGGCTGAGACTAAAAGGGAAGACTGGAGTCTCCACACTGCCTGAGCTTCTAGTCGTCTTCCTCCAGAATTTACCGTTCCAGAGAGCAGGGCCGGCTCTCACCTGAATTGCAGCCTGCTGGACCGCTCTGCGCATTTTAGAGCTGCCAGTCCTCGCGTGTCCCTGTGCCAATTTCTTGAAATATTTTTTCCTCTCCCTCTCTCTCCCTTCCTCCCCTTCCCACACTTCTTTGTTACTGGTTCAGTCTCTCTGAAGAACCCTGATTCATGTAAAACAACAAGCTTTCAAAAAATCACCACTATTCTGAGAGAGATGGTAGGATATTCATTGACAAGAGCCAGATTCTATAAAAATAAACATTAAAAATAATAGCGCTTAATTTTAAAGATACGCAGTGTTTGGAAGACACAGTAATGCTTTCATTAAGCTACATCATCATGGTAGAAGCCTAAAAGCATCTCCCCTAAAATAAGAAGTTCCTGTGCTCATACAGCTCACACACTTTTGAAGTCCTGGAGAGGATAAAAATAATCAAAATATCTCAGTGTCATAAACAGGGCTGAGCGTTTTATTCTTAGTGTTACTAATTCAAAAGAGAAGAGCAAAAGTCCTATTTTGAATTGAACTATTCCACTTTATCCTCTGAAGACAATCAGGATCATTTTTAAAATGCTACATTTTCAATAGTTCTTATTTTATATTCTATTGTGAAAACATGCTAATAATCAAAATCAGGGTCCAAAAACAGCCAACATCACTCTCCAGTTTCTTACAGTCTAGAAAGTTGTACTCAGGAGAACATACAACTTACCTGTTTAGACATGTTTTCGGAAAACTTCGCTGATTTTTCTTTTAAAAATGTGACAAGATCTTTATAAACTTCACCTTTCCTCTCATAATCAATGTGCTCCTCCTCATCTGTTTTGCCCTTTGGAGGAAAAGGTTGGTGCTATGATGTATGGGGTTCTCTCTCTAAAAGACCCACATAACCCACATGACAGGGTATCTCCCACTCTCTCAATCCACCCCTCCCCTTCTTTCCTCCCTCCCTCCTCCCCACTTTCTTTGTGCGAGGAGCAAGTCCTTGCTATGTTGTCCAGGCTGTTCTCAATGTCTCAAATTCCTAGGCTCAGGAGATCCTCCTGGTTCAGCCTCCCAAGTATCTGGAAGTACAGGTGTGCCCTGCCAAATAGTTTTCCTAATGAACCTAATGTTAACCACCTGTTGACTCATTTGCTCACTTAGTCTCGCCGGCCTCCTGTACACACACAGAACTCCGCTGTTCAGCAGAGAAGCAGGAGGCCCTTCGCTCTGTTCTCCCACTGGGAAAGTGCTCTGTGACTTCAGGAACCTTGGCTGATGAAGTCACAAAAGGCCTCCGGAGTGGGAGGTCCCCAGAGAAGCCCTCTGTCCTCACCCTCTTCCTGCTGTGTGGCCTGTTGGCCGCAGGCTCCTTGTCCAGGCCATGGGTTCCTCCCAGGCCCTGCCTGCCTCTGCCCCTCTTGTTCTGCCCTTTCTCCCCTCCCTTCCCTTTCCTCCCTGGCCCATTATCCGACCATAACTGGACTTGTCACAAGACTATTTGCTCAGCCTTCCCTTGTCATCTGTAAAACCGAGGAATGCTCACAGGTTCCCACGGCAAGTGAAGCCGCACGTGCCGGGGCAGCGGTCCCCTGGAGACAGCAGCCGCAGCTTTTCCTGCTGGGCCACCCCAGGGCCCCTGGCATCTTCCCTTCAGTGCCTGGACCCACGCAAACCAACTGCAGGGCCTTTGCTCGTCTTCACGGCTGCGTCTCAGAAGACTGGCTCCTTGATCGCAGTGGGGAACAGCGCGGTTCTGGGCCACCTCTGGGTTCGCCCGGAAAACACCCAGCAAGGGCGCCTGCTTTGACCCCACCGGCTCACCGGGCCCGAACCGGGCCCGGGACCGGGACCGGGCTACTCACCCCGTTCAGAAACACGCCCTGCACGCTGCAGGTGACGCACAGGGCCTCGGCGTCGTGCGGCTTCACCAGCAGGTAGCACATCTCCCCGCGCACCTGTCTCCACGGTGGGGCCCGGCACCCATTGGAGAACTCGAAATCTGAAAGCGAGCGCAGGCCCCTCAGTTAGGGCTGGGCGAAGCGTGGCCTTCGACAAAATCATTGCTGCCCGGATCTTAAATTCTCAGTTTCTTAAACCTTTTATCCTAACGCTGTTGCAGGGCGCGTTCTTAAAAGACAACTATGGCATTGTAAGGCGACTCTGAGAATGAATACCTGAGGTGTATTCAATGGATTCCAAGACTGTTTGTTCTCCTTTTCCCGAGAAGCTCTTAAGAAGCTCTATATCTTTCTTAACAGGCACCGGATTTAAATGTATCTGTCTGAAATACATGTTTTTAAAAATCAATTTAAGTGTTTTAAAACAGAATCTACAGAAAACGAACAAATATCATATCAGAGAATTTTTTTTTTTTTGCAATTAAAATTGTACTTAATTTTAGCTACATTGTGATCTTTTGGGATCGAACTCGGGACCTTGCACTTGCGAGGCAGGCCACGGAACCGCTGAGCTAAGTCCCCAGCTACAACGTAATCTTTTAACAACTCCCCCAAAACACTGAGAGATCAGCAAGGCATGCTGAATGGAACACTGAGTATATCCAGATTAAGAATCACTTCCTTTCGTACCATACCATACCTGGAGAAATCGGTGGGAAAACGAACGTGTCACATACCATACGAACGCTACGTAATACCTGTGCTATAATTCAGGCATTCGTATGATTATGATTACACTCTCTTCCTCAAACAGCACGCTTCCCTCAGCCTTCAGGCCTTCCAAAGGGATCAGTCTGTTTAATGTCTTCAGACCTGGGTGAAACCCACCAGACTTTGTTCACAATGCTAACTGCGAATTTAATTTTTAAGAACTAGGATAAATCTAACAAAATTTCGATATCATTACAACAAAATGTTGTGTGCCCTTAAGAGCAATAATGTCTGTATTTTTCTTGGGTTTTTTTTTTTTCCTATAACTCTGAATGTGGTATTGGTGACTATTTTAGCGATGTGTTTGATGAATGACTCACAGTGAAATATGTCTTAGGGTACAACTGAGAAGGTGCAGATCTAGTTGCTTCAGCAGTATTGCAATCTTCATCTTCTTCTCATTTTCAGGATCATCGCCCTTGGCGATTTTATGAAGAATATTTAAGGCACCAGAGTCTTCTTCCATTGTGCTATAATCTGAGCCCAGGATTTTTACTACAGGGTCTCTGTTAGCTAAAAATAAATCATAAATAAATATCATCCTCTTATCTTCCGGTACAGTAAACACACGCTAACAAATCCATTACAGGCTCTTTCTCAGCTCTACTTCTGAGATTCGGTTGTACTTAGAGACCTTCTTATGCTTCTTGATGTGTTACAGCGTAATTTATACACAGCATTTCCTTTAGTAGGGTAGAGGCCGAGACCAAGGCTGATTGGTGTCTGCCCCTCCTCCACCCAGGTGTCCACCTCTGTTTGTTTTCTTTCCTTTTCTCTCTCCCTCTCTGTCTTCCTCTCCCTCTCCCTCTCCCTCTCTCCTCTCTCCCCTCTCTCTCTCTCTCCCCTCTCTGTCTCCCCATTGGCTATAGATCATTGTTCAGAATAGGTATTCAGTACATTCAGAACCGATCTGAAGACAGAGAAAGGCCCATCTCCGAGGAGGATCACACCAGAACAGTGTGTCCGCCGGTGCCAGCACTCGGTGTTCATAAACGCTTTCCTCCTCAGACAGCATGCTTTCCTCAGCCTACGGGTCTATGCCACTCTTTTCCCACCCATTCAAACTGCTTTTATTCTCTATGCCTTCTGATACTAGAGTTGGAAAAAATCTAACCAGTATTTACACATGTGCCAAATTATAGTGAAAATCTTAAACACTAACTCATGACTGAGGCTGACATGGGTGTGAAGTGATGGCTGAAAAGAAAATCTGGTAAGTATATATATATATA